AAAAATTTTTAAATATAAAAGCCTGGAGACCAGGCGGTTTTATTTCGTCAATGATATCTATTTACAATTCTAATTGATTAAAGTATTCGAATTAAATTATGAGTTACTTAAGTATTTACAGGTCTCCATTAACTAATGACATTTTCTCTTACAGGCGGCACGAACAGCGCACGGGCTATAACAGCCCGGAGTAAGCGCCCACCTGTAAGAGCTAACAAAGTTCTATTTACAAGTTTTCTATTTATAAAGTTCTATTTACTATTTACAAAGAGTTTTGTCCCGACCATGTGGGGCGCAAACAGCGCGCGGGCCTGTAGCCCGGAGTAAGGACCCCTCATGGGCGAGGTTTAACAAGTTTTATTATATACAAAGGTTCAGGGGGGAGCAAGAGAGGGAAAGAAGACAGGTTTACCAGCATCGGCCGAACAAAATGCGTTTTTAAAAGACCAAAAATTCCTTAAGGTATCAGTGTCGCTGCTAAGAATTCTGAGTTGGACATCTTTTTTAATTAAGTCGATAATCGCGTTGGAGCTCAAAAGAGAACCTTCGAAGGTAGCTTTATTTCTGGCAAGCCAACACCAATATATGATGGTTGCCTTGAGAAAGTTAGATAAGGATATACTGGTGGTAGATTGGTCTAGGGAAAAGGGGTAATAGATAGAGGTAGGGGAGATAGAGAAGGGGGAGTCGAGTAGAACACGAAAAAGGGGAGAGAAATAGTCCCAGACTTTCACAACTCTGGGACATCCCAAGAAACAGTGTTCAATAGTTTCTGTTTTACCGCAGATCGCGCATTTGTCATTATTGATGTATCCCCAAGACTTTAGGAGATATCTTACGCGGATCATTCTATGGATCAATAGCCAAATTAGATCGTTCTTCTTGTTCTCAATTAGCTTTAGGCGAGACTTGCGCCACACCCAGGCCCAACGATTGATGGGGCGGTCCATAGCAGACGCCCAAAAACCGGAGCACCGGGGTGCAACGCAGACGGGGTCAAGCAACAAAAGATATAAATTCTTACTGGTGAGTAAATCAGGTAAGGCACCAGTTTTCTGATGCAAGGTACGGAAATTATCTAAACAAAGCCGGTAGTAATTGGAAGGAAGGAAGGAAGAGGGACCAGAATTGGTGGGAAAAGAAAAACGGGGATCTAGAATAGTTAACTTATGTCCTAAACAATATCGATCTAAGTAATGCCACTTGGATGTGCCAAAGTCATCTCTTAAAACTGGAAAAAACAGAAAGGCGCAGGCTAGTGCACTTAACTTTAATATTAACGACGTTGAGGCCCCCAGAGGATGGGGGCTCACAACAGCGATCGCGATTAACATTTTCCATTTTTCCTTTCCAGATAGAAAGCCAAATGATCGATTTAAATATATGGTGCACCCAACGGGGTGGGGGAATGACTTTAGCAACGTGTCATAAGCGGCTTGCGCCTAAAGTATTTACAGTTAAGGTCCTACCGATAAAAAAAAAGGTCTCTTTGTTTCCAAAGATTTAGAACCGAATTTAGTTTGTCTAATTTGGCCCGCCAATTATCGTCGTCGACATTGACGAGGCCGTTTGAGAAGAAAACACCAAGCACTCTCATTTTAGTGACCCATTTGAGGCCATAGGGAGATTCAATTCTATTTCGCCATTTTCCTAACCACATTGCTTCAGATTTGGACGTGTTCAGTTTAGCGCCAGATTCTTGTTTAAATTTTGATACGACTCGGAGAAGTGAAGAAAGAGATCTCTCGGATTTTAAGATGCAAGTAGTATCGTCAGCGTACTGGGATATTTTATATTGAAGGCCCCCTGCTCCGGGGAGCAGGGAACCTTCAATATCTTTACAATTGCGGATTTTCGTTGATAATACTTCTGAAACTAGCACATAAAGGAGAGGAGATAATGGGCATCCCTGTCTCACCCCTCTCCGTAAATGGACAGGGGGGACAGGGAGCTATTTTAAAGCCTTCTCTAGAATCATTGTTGAAACAATGACTCTAGAGAAGGCTTTAACATAAAATAGTTCGACCCACCCACAAAAGGAGGGGCCGAAACCAAATTTACGCAATACTCTCATCATGAATTCGTGGTCAACTCGGTCAAAAGCTTTTTCTTGATCTAAGGAAAGGAGAATACCTGGTTCATTTGTTTTGTCAATCATTTCAAGGGTATCACGAGGTTAGGCCAAATTTGAGAAGATAGTGCGGCCGACCACACCGCACGTTTGGTCTGAATGTACGATGGAGTTCATGACTTTTTTCAATCGTTCAGTGATGATTTTAGATGCTAACTTGTAGTCAGTGTTTAACAAGGAAATTGGGCGCCAGTTTTTTGCGAGGAGTCGATCGTCTTTTTTGTGGACGAGTCGTAGGAGGCCCTCGTACTGGCTGTCCGCGAGGGTGCCAGCAAGAAAGGCCTCCTTCAAAACAGAAAGGAGAGATTTGCTCAAATCGTTCCGAAAACACGAATAAAATTCTGTTGGAAGACCATCAGAACCGGGTGACTTGCCGGTCTGAAGGCCTTCCAATGCAGAAAGCAACTTATCATTAGAAAAAGGGCCTTCACATAGATTGCGCTCAAAATCAGTCAGTGAAAATTCGAGGTCGTCAATTATTTCAGTTTGAATTTGCATATTAAAAGGATCTTTGGTTAATAAATTCTTGTCGAAATTGGTTAAAATGTTTTCAAGATCATTTTGTGAATTTCTGAGAACACCGTTCGCGTCAAAGAAAGATTCAAAACTATTCGTGTCAGCTCGTTTTTTCTCCAGACGGAAGAAATAGCGTGTTGGTTTCTCGCCTTCTTCGAACCATTGTGCTCGGGAGCGGACTTTAGCTCCTTCGGCTTCTTTCGAGATTAGAGAGGACAATTGGCTTTCCAAATCGCTAATTACACCTGGGTTATTTAAGCGATTAGAATGTAAAGCGTTTTTAGCATGGGTTAATTGCTTAGTAATTAGGATTCTTTTGGCATTTGCTGTTCTCTGTTTACGGATACAGTATGAAATACTTGTTTTGCGGATTTCAATTTTTAGAGCATCCCACCATTCGCGAAGGGAGGCGAATTCGGGAATTTTAAGCTTAAAGTTATTAATCGATTTTGACATAATGTTTTTAAATTCTACATCTGAGAGTAAAGAGCTGTTGAACTTCCAAATTCCAGGACCGTGATTAGAAGGGTTAGTCGTTAGTTCAATTTTTACAAAGTCATGATCGGATAGGTCGTATACGCATGGAAGAATATTACATTTCGTTACTAGGGTTAAGCCTTTAGCGACGAGAAAGCGGTCAATTCTAGATGCCTGGGTATGGTCTTTGTTAGACCAGGTGAAAGTTACTTTGCGCGGGTTGTTTTTGCGCCAAATGTCTGTAAGTGAGAAGTCAGCACAAAGGGATCGGAGAAGTTTTTGATCAGACAATAGGATGGCGGAACAATTTAATTTATCTAGGACATTGTCTACACAATTAAAGTCTCCCCCGATCACTAGATCCCCTTGGGGGAGAAAGTAATTGTGCAGACAAGAGAAAAAACTTTTACGATCCGAAATAGTATTGGGAGAGTAAATGTTTACTAAATTTAGTTTAGAATTATAGTAGTCAATGAGTAAGCTCAATATTCTTCCTTCGGAATCGGTCAAAAAACGGATAATT